TTGTGCAGCATGGAGCTATCAAAGTGAGACGCAGTCCATCCGGTCCCCAACTCGGGGCTCATGTAGGTCGCCGGATAGGGGCTAGAGTAAGACCCCCCGAAATTCCGGGTGTACTGTTCTCTGCCATTGGCCGTAATGCTGAGCGAACTACTGTAAGCGGCCACCTCTCTGGAGGTGGTGGCTGAGATGGGGCTGCTGGTGGCGAAGGAGAACCTGGGGGACACCGAAGGGTGAGAAGACCCCGGGTTGTAGGCCACACTCTCTGCCCCCGGTTGAGTCCAAATGGAGTGGCTGGAGACCGGGCTTCCCTGTTGGGATGAGGCACCCCCTTGGAGATACGGCAGGCTGGGGATCATGGTGGTGACCCTGGTGGTGGGGATGTAGACTGGCGAAGCGGCGGCCGCACTGTGCATAAAACCGCTGGCCCCTTCGTAGGAGGGTGGGCCGTGGTTGGTTGCCATAGCCAAACTCTGGTACATTGCGGGAGGTGCAGGATGGGCCTTGGTCCACCAAGCCAACCTAGACCAGGGAGGAGGAACCGAACTATGGTGAGCTAACACTCAGGTGTCCTTCTGCTCCAACAAGGGGCCATGCACTTCCCAATCGGGTCCAGAGAGGATGATCGTTCAAGATCTGGGGCGATCTGGAAAAGTCTGAACAATTCTGAGAAGGTTCCTCTTGTGGTGGTTCTCTCCCAGAGGTCTCCAACCATCAGAGGTTGGGGAGATCTTCACTCCTAGGGAAGAGGGCAGAGCAATGTCAGAGCTTGGTTGGCAAGTGAGTAATAGAGGAAGGGAAGAGAGACAGAGAATAGGGAATGAGTGCGGTGAGGAGAGGAGAGGAACACCCCTCAGTTAAAGGCAGCTGAGGTTAGGAAAGGCCCTAGAAGCTCAGAAGGTGTGAGACGGACATCCCTTGAGGTCAATTCCCCTTGATGCAGAGACTCCATTAGCCAAACCTTTGTCCCCAGGTAGGTACAAGTCAATTTGGGCCTCCCTTTGTGTTGTTAATGAAGCTCAAGGCTTCTTGTTTGATCTGAAACCACATCATCCCAGACTGTGCCAGATGTGGTGTCTACACTAGGGGAAAAGGGAGAGAAAATGCAATTAGAAGGAACCCATTTGGAGGCCAACAGAGAGACAAACGAAAACTGTCCGGATGGGACTTTATATCACACCCTTTATATCACACCCTTGTCACACTTCCCTGTTAACAATAAATGCAGGCACACCTCAGACAGGAGAGTCAGTGTGGCACAGTGGTGTGGGTGTTGGATTACAACTCTGCCAACCCAGGTTTGATTTCCAGCTCAGCCATGAAACCCACTGGGTGACCTTGGGCAGGCCACATGCTCTCAGCCTCAGGGGAAGGCAATGGCAAACCTCCTCTGAACAAATCTTGCCATGAAAACCCCATGATAGGTGCACCTTAGGGTCACCGTAAGTCAAAAGCAACTAAAAGCCACACAACCACAATAACAAAAGGGACCATAAGGTTAAAAAGTGGTGGCATCCTACACAACCCTAGGATTTGTAATTTGGGGAGACACCAGAGGTCTCTGGCTTTTGTTTGTTGTTGTGTGCCTCCAAGTCATTTTTGATTTATGGTGACCCTAA